AATAATAATGCAAATAAAACACTCTTATTACCTGTGTGAAACACAACTAAATCAGTACATCCATCTGTCAGGTCTCTCTATTCACATCTGAAGGGCAGAAAAAGGCAACAACAGACTCCACGTGAGACCTTCAACGTGCTTCAACCTAGCTGAAACATTGCAACTATGGGTAGTTAGCACGTTAATAAAGTTGTGTACTTCACACAGGAAAGAACAATTTTCACACCGTTAGCAACAGAAAACAGTGGCTTATAACTCTGTGCTATAACAGTCTGAACGGTAAAGTGCATTTTTTTATGGAAATAAAACACTTAAAATTACAGGAGCAGAGTATACAGCTCACCTCTCCTCAGCTTTCCACAGTAGCTGAGGAGGACCGCAATGAAACAGGAAACCAGATAACGGGGCAATGGCCTTCAAAATAAAAGCTCCTGACCAACAAAACCATTCAAGGCAACACATCTATGCAAAATTATTGAACAATATGACATGAAAGAAAGAACTGAATGCATTACATGGAGATCTCAACAATAGAAGTGGGCATTAACCCCCCAAAATAAAATAATATGCACTGTAAGGTTTTGAGAATGTTCACACTGCATATTCATCTGCTACACATGCACACTTGCAATGGGTGGACTGGTTTTGTGCATATCCTGAATTGAGCACGTTTAATTCTAGTGCTTATCCTGCTGCCTGATGACCCGCAGACAGGCCTCACCTGGTTGATGCTGTAATTCGTGACCTTTCCCACCTCACCATTAAATTTTAGCTCTTTGTTGCAGTTTGTTTTGAGTGCAAACTTGAAACAATAGAAGGAATGTGGCATTTAGAAATATGTTAACTTGTTAGAATGTGAGGCAACAGGTGGAATTGAAATGTCCCACTTTCAGGGAAACATCCTTCTCTTTACAAATCCACATTCAGTGTGTTTCCAATGTAAACCTATCCAGAAAAATGAATAGGGTTCATCTTCTGTGACTGCCAAGGCAGACAGTGTACTTGCCAGGCAGACATGACATGAACCACAATAACATTTGAGCAGGGAAAGCTTTTGTTCCATAACCTTAACCTGCAGGTCTCTCAGGGAATCTCTTATCACAGAAAAGACTTTTCCACCCATTAAATATATTTTCTCTGTTGTGATGTTGATTGTATCTGATGGCCTGAGTCATAAAATTCAATGAGGCGTAGATGAGAGGCCCATGAACTATGAATTGGAACAGTTTAAAACCAGGCATTATTATGATTAGGCCAGTTGTGAAGTTAACGGAGATACATGAATATTCTCTGTGCTTCAAGAGAAAGACAGGGACTTTCATAGAGGTACTTATCAGTTCCTTCTTGCATTTCAAGCAGTTAAGTGGCCACCACTGATGGACCAGTATCTGGTAGATCTCAGCTACTGCATTTTTTCTCTCAAACTCTGTGTCTCTTAGCCATTCTCTCTCCAGCAGAAACCAAGAAAGCTGTCTTGGCTCTTTATGTACTACATCTTAAACACCTTTTATACATGCACTGACAAACTGAAGTTAACTAGATATTGCCCAGAGGAGCTGTATGTGTGAATGCACGCTGCAGATTTTACCCTGTCACCTACCTAGTACAAAGGCTGCGTAATGTTTGTGGGAGCCCATATGTGAATAAAGCACCTTATAGTCTGGAGAATTCACACGAGTTAGTGGGTGTGTTGATTACTTGCTATCATGGAACTAGTGTAAACCAGAAGAACAGAAACATCTAATGTTGAAGAAGAAGAAAACTGAGAAAAAAACAAGATGCTGCCTGTGTTTGATTAATAGTGTCCTTCAGTGGGAGTGCAATTTTCAAGTGTCCTTATTCTTCTTGTGTCTTTGCATGGCTTAACGAATTCTAATGAAACCTCCTGATGCAACCACTTTTTTTTTCTTGTCAGAGTTTGACTGAAACCCCTAAGTAAATCAAGTTAATGGCAGAGGACCACAATGGCATCTGCTTTTCTCTGACAGCGTATCACAGTGGGGAGAGGCACGTGGAATGTATTCAGAGGATGTTGGAGGAGGGCAATGTGCCTCATTGGTTTTCCTGTGATGTCCTCGACCGCTTTGAAGATGTCCTCCAGTTCTATTCACCTTTGAATTCTTATCATGGCCCAATAGATCAGTAGTGAAATATACCCTCAAAGTTATGAATTCATGAATTTTACACAGGAATATCTTTCACCAGCTCCATATCACTGAGGGGAAAGTTTCCTTGCTCAGAGGGATAGTTGTAGCCTGTAAAAAAAAACAAAAAAAAAAACACATAAGATGGTTGCATTGATATTCCATGCTAACACCTGCATTATGTTGCCTGGAATTAACTTCATGTATCAGAGGGTTCGTGCTTATTTTCTATAAAGGTCACCTTTATATAAGCTTGATAAAAGTTGAGATCATGTATCCGGCATGGAATAAAAATGATATACTGTAGTGCACTGTCTAAGGAGTGTAATTTCTCTAGGTGTTGAAGAAAAAAAGCTACATATGATCCTCATGGAAATCATTTGTCTCTTCTCCAATAAATGAGACTCAGTTATTACTAATTCTACAGTGTGTTGGTAAGTAAGTTTACAGTATTTTGCTGCTGTTTGCTGCTCTGCTTCTTATAATAGTTCCAGCAATATGTGATAGCACAGTGGTGGCTCATTCCCTCCTAAGTCTGAACTTGCAAACAATCAGAAGCGAGCAGGTGTGTATGCTGGTACCTCTGTGCACACACACACACACATATACATACATTCCTTGTGGGGACATTACAGTGGCTTATTGTACATTAATTTCCTGGAGAGTTACCCTAACATTAACCATAAATACTACTTGGCTAACTGTAACCCTTAAGGGGAACACACACAGACAGTGTCAAAACACCCACACACATTATTTTTAATGCAAGTCCACATGCCAGTGGCGCTTTTGACACACATCAGCTTGCAATGACATGGATCAAAAGCATAAGATACTCAAGTACTTATTCATTTTGGTAGTCCCACGCTGCACTACCACCACTCGTGGTGTGCGTAGCCCTTTACTCTAGCCTTAACCTAATTTTAACTTAACCCTAACCTTAAACCTTAAACTCCAAAGTTCAATGATTTACAATAAATGTGTAAGCACATTTTGGTCTCCACAATGTGAGTAGTACCAGACACACTCTCACGCACACAAAAGCATTATCCTTTTCCATTGACACATACAAACAGTGTCTGAGACATACAGTTAAATAGCTCAGATTCACTTCACTTTTTTATTTCTGTTCAGAATGTCACCCCAAGTCAATTGTCCCAGAGGTTGAAGGGAACAAAGAAGCAGCTGGAAGTGTGAGAACAGATACTGTATTTAGTACAATAGGAAAACACACATTTGCACAAAACTGACATGCACAATATCACATCCTCTCCTCTTATCATGAGGCATCTGTTTCCTGAAGCTCACGGCAGTGTACAAACTACTTTGAGCCATGCAGAAGCAACATACCTCTTTCTGTTCAGCTGGGCTGCTATTCATAAATGCTCATCTTCTCCAAGTGACTCACAGAAGGTCCACTCATTTATCTTTCCTCGTTCCAACAACTATAAACAGTTTCAGGATGTGTGCTATGTCCTCGATAGCCTCCATGGCCTACTGTAACAATTGTGTGGTCATTGTTGACATGGTAACTTGAACATAGTGTGGGTGTTAGATACTGACACTACCACTGTGTGGTACATGAGTGCTTTACATGATGTTTTTTTTTTTGGAATTCAACCAAAGTGTTTTTAATGTGCAAGATTTTTTTCTTTTTAAAAGCTGTTTTTCAGCCCTTCCATTTGCAAAGTTATTCATATAGTGTTTCCTTTTTTTTCTTAATTTTATTGGAGGCAGTTGTTTTTAGAATCTAAATTTTTTTTTTTCATCAGGTTTGTGACTGTGCAGCACTTTGAAACCATGTTTATTTAATGTATAATTGTACTTGGTCAGATGTTTCAGCTATTATTATATTATATTATTATATAGTTTAAAATTTTAATGTGACTTCTATCATGTGAGCAACCTAGCATTCATTGGTAACCCTTTTCTCCTCACACAGATGGCACAAACAGATGTTAGGCATCTGTAAAACATAAACTCTGCTCGAACTAGCTAGATGGGGTTAAGTATGGTGAAACAAAGCACCGGTAAAGGATTAACCTGTCTTCCCTTGTTCCCAGTGTTGCTTCAGTCTTCCATCTCATAGAACAGCATTGCCTGCCTCCAGCTGCCCCAGGTCCAAGTAGAGGCCAGCGCTACTTCTGTTTCATGCATGTTTGCAAGTGTCTAGCTGTATGTACAGTATGTAAATGCCCTCATGATTCACTCTGTACACACAACACAAACTTGACTAGTGCTTCCAATAGCAAAGCCTTTGTTTTGGTCTCTCCCCTAACCACTCCCCAAATCTCATACACGCACCCACACACACAATTATTATTATTATGTATACACACACAGACACACAGATCCCACCTATAACCCCTTATAAAAGAGATGGCAGAGTGGTTATGAATAAAAAAGGGAGGAGTAGATGGAGATAAATGGGCCATGCACAATGAAACTTATACTGACTGAGCCAGTTCAAACACATCTAAACCCTTCCTTCTGTGTTCCCCACTGATTGTCCATTATTCCTGTTCCACATAAAATCCCTCTAAATGGAGAGCCTCAGAATGGCATTGGGGACATGAAGCAAAACTGTCCATTCATCTTCAGATGTGACTAGAGCCCTATTAAAACCACTCAGGGAAATCTGTCATGGTAAACAAAATACTTCTTTTTTGTTTTATTGCCCTAGCTTGTCCAGTTTTCTGCTGAGGGCCTCTCAGGGCCTTGTTCTATCTCCATTCCATGACTCCCTTGTAAAAATCTTGCTTTCACATTTATTACTCAGTTTTCTCAGTTACAAAGTCATGCTGACTGCCCAGAGGAGTCCATCCTTAAGCAATCTAAGCAAAACTGGGCTCATGTCTAAAGTACCAGCAAGGGGAAACTGAGCATATGCATTTATGAGCAAGTTTCAGTGAAAGGCTTCTCACTTCCTGTCTCATCTGACAGTAGAGTCATCACAGTACAGAGGAGATGAGAAAGCTCAATGCCCAGTTCAAGGAAAGGGCAAGAGCTCTTCATAGCTATCTGCAGTGCATTTACAGTATGATATACAACACAAACAGGTTCTCTCCAGGTATATAAATGTGTTTTGCTTTATTTGTTTTGAACCTTCACCTGGCTGCTGCTTTTGGCACTTACTATCACATACAGAAGAGCAAGTGATTCATTTCTAAGGCTTTTATGTTGTACTCCATAAAATAGCACAACTGCTAGATGTCACTCTAAAGATGTTTGGCCCT